TCTCTTGAATGTTTTATCTTAATTGTAGGTGGTCAAGGAAGCAATGAGGTTTTATGTAGTTTCTCCTTTAGTAGCAAGGGAAACATCGACACGAGTCGAGATCGGAGGTTACATACTTCCAAAGGGAACATGGGTGTGGTTGGCAATCGGAGTTTTAGCCAAGGATCCCAAGAACTTCCCGGAGCCGGAAAAGTTCAAACCAGAAAGATTCGACCCGAATTGCGATGAAGAAAAACAACGGCATCCCTATGCCAACATTCCCTTCGGGATTGGACCTCGAGCGTGTATTGGTCAGAAATTCTCATTGCAAGAGATCAAGCTTGCACTAATTCATCTATACCAAAGATACGTATTTCGACACTCGCCCAACATGGAAAACCCGTTAGAATTCAGTTTTGGCATCGTTCTCAACTTCAAATACGGTGTCAAGGTTCAAGCGATAAAACGAACGTAATACGGCTTCGTCTCTTCATTGTCATCAAGTTTTCAAAATCCTCGGTCACAGGTCTCTTTAAGCTATGTCTGACAAATTAGCTGAAACTATTTGCTAATAAGCTTGTTAATTGATAAACCAAGTCATGTTTGATAAAACGAAAGATAAGCAAAGCCACAGCGAGGAAACTTACCGGAACGCCACAAGAAGTAGCTTTTCAAAAAGTCAGCTTATTGCTAAATAAACGGGGATTTCTCAGTAAGCTAAAAAATAATAACTGCAAATTTCAGTTGTTTTTTCATTTAGACAAACGAATGAAAGACTCAAAAGCATTAGTTAATTGAAGACGTCTTTCATACTTTGAAGGTAGCGACAGTTAATGAGTTTTAATAAGACTCATCCTGATATATAATTTTGTAAAGTTTGGATTGTTATTTGTTGATGTTAAATCCTAGATTTCCGTTATATGTCTTATGGATGCGTAGCCCTACTTTAGTAAAAGAATATGATTTACAACATTTATCATATATAACAAAGCGTTTTTAGATACGTAAGATCCTTGTAATTATTTACAATCCCTACCCCACAAGCCCACTCTACTCTTTCGATATCGCTTTCAATGAAAATAATGACATGACAAACGACTTATAAAGATGCCTTGATCAACCAAAACCATCGCTCGTTTGATTCCCTTTGGCCTACCCATAAATACCCTCTCCTTTTCCACTACCTTAAGGGGGGTGTTTGGGATTGTTTATTAAAAACAACTTATATTTTTTTTTGTTAAAGTGCTTATTAACTTATGTTGTATCAAACCTGAGTTTTATAAAAAAAGTGTTTGAATTAACTTATAGCGGTACCAAAAAGCAAGAAGCTGATAAGTTGTTTTTTAGTATTTGGCAAATTTTGCTTATATATATATAAAATGATAAAAAATGACGGTCTTTCATATTATTGACTTGTTTGATTTTTTAACATGTAAAAATTTATTTTTTATCATTTATAATAATTTTTTTGACAAAAATTTATATCAATAAGATTAATGATTAACAAACATTGATAAAATAGGGTTAAAATGATAAATTGATAATAAACAGATCTTTAAATCAGGAAGGATTAACCTATCAAAAACTGTTTATTACCGGTTTAACACCGGTATAAACAGTTTTATTTTTCCTCATCCAAACACTAGCATTTAGCTTATCACCGATGCCAGATCGAAATAAATCAAAAAACACCCAAAATAAACAATCTCTAACACCCCTTTAATCATCTCTCCAAATAAAAAACATCAACATTATTGCAATGTCACAGTCGGAATGAGTCCCACCACACCACTACTTCCGAAATCCATGGTTTTCAATCTGAATAATGCAAAACACAAACATCTTATAAAAATGCCTTTAATTACCCAAAACCATTCATCATAAATACCCTCTTTCTTCTTCTTCCCCCTAAAACCATCTCTTCAAATGGAAGCATCCATCATTCCTGCAATCACAGAGTCATCAATTTTCACTATTTTAGCCTTAATTGCTGGGATTTTGGTCTACTTTTATGGACCATT